TCCCTAGATATTTTTCGAAAGAGTAGGAGAAGAGTTTCTTGACCAGCCTATCACACTGAACAAACCGGTCTTTAGTGGGCTCGAATAAGAAAGAAGGCCCGCTCGGTAAGCTTGCTCTGGTTCAGCTGTGCCTCGCTGGTGTTTGGAGGAAATCCTCAATTATTCAGCTCTGAATCTGTAATGATTTCACTTCGTAGGGATATAGATGGCGGTGGGAGGACATAAGCGGCCTACGCAAAGGCGCAGACCATGACCTGAGTAGCTTTGATGGCAGCTTCTTTGAACCATGAAGCAATAGTCAGTTCATAGTAGTAGTGAATTTTTCTGCAAGTGAATTCGGCCTGGAATTGAGCCAAATATGGTATTTTCATATGATTATTGAACCTCAGCACCTTCTTGTGGTTTTTAAAGAATTGAATTTTCGTTCTCACTCGGTCTCGAGGAAAATTCGTTGAGGAAATCTTAATTTCAGATGTTAAGCGTTCTGTTGCTGGTCGCCAGCACACTAGCCTGCTCCTTCGCTCAGATTCTCGAATTGAAACCTGGAAGAGTTCATGGTTTCGAATATACTACGAAAGGCGGTGAAGTTGCCGAAGTGTTTCTTGGGATACCCTACGCCGCTGCACCTGTGGGAGAATTGCGATTTGAGGTGAGCATTTTCACCCAGAACTATGAAGAGCAGAGCAAGAGTCCCGTCTACAGCTCGCTTCTAATTGTAAGAGAATTGCATCAAGAGTGACACTATCTGCCTTGCTTCTTTTAAGGACAGTAACGATGAGCGTATAACAACACCAACGCCCAAGTCTATCGCTTGGGCCGTTGAAGGATAAAGTAAAAGGTTTGGGTGTCAGCCTGAGAGATGAGTTCCCGCATTCAACTTCCATTCAGAATCGTAGCGGCGTATTGAATGCGTATGTGGCCTATACAATGACTTACAGTGGCCAGCCGATGTGCACGCCAGTGCTTTTATCCTCCCGGTTGAGTGTGGTATCAGTTGACGCGGAGAGTTGGGAAGCTTTTTTGACCTACGCAGATATCGCTCCGGAATTTGAACCTGTGACCATGCGTGTAACATAGAGCGTAACTTGCCCCTACACGATCTCCGCCCATTTTTCAGACCAATACGCTTCGAAAAACGATGGATCCTCTTCTTTGTTGGCAACTTCTCACTCGGAAAAGGCTACTAATAATTGGCAGTGTCTTTGACAGTAGATTTCGATTAAAACGAAACATTTTCAGAAACCTGTTCCCGTCGTGCCATGGAAGGAAATCCGTAATGGGACTCAATTCGGCGCCACCTGTCATCCACATGCACGTAAAGCTGCCCTATCGCCGGATCCCAGTGAAGATTGCTTAACACTCAATATGATTCGACCAAAGAGAACGGTAATCACTTGCACGTCTAATTAGGCGGTACCTACTGTTCAGTCTGTCCACATTGCTTTGTCTAAAATTCATTGTTCTTACAGGCACCCGCTGGTGGGTACCCAATTCTGCTCTGGGTCCACGGTGGTGGCTACGAAATAGGTTCAGCCAGCTTGTATGGTTACAAAGGATTCGCGGATATCTATATACCGCATGATGTAATCGTGGTCACTCTGCAGTATCGCTTGGGCATCTACGGTATTTTATGATTATGAAATGAATTTGAATTTGCTGCATTGGTAGAAAAAAGTGTACCCTGTCTTTTGCTTCTATTTAAAGATTTCTTTTGGGATATGTGCTCTATGGATGGTTTTTTGACAATGATTGTAGTGCTAGAGTTGGACCTGCTGAAAGGAACGAAAACAAGTGTAGGAAGTATGCTCCAACTTTTGCTGGTTTTTCCATATTTTTTTAGAGTGTAGACCTCATACAAGGATATATGGATCCTTCCGAATGAACATAGAGCTTACTCTAAATTCGCTGACGGGACGAACTGATACCTCGTTCGCTCCCATGGGATTCCTTACAGGAAGCTTAAAAAAGACGCTCGCTTTATCCTAAGCAGTGCCGGCTATAGCGACAATGGATGAAGAATATTGCTAAGGTTCAGAAAAAGAATAACTTTAACAGCTCATAGACAGTGATAAGGTTAGTAAGGTTGTAAAGAATTCTTAGTTTTAAGTTTTTTGCAAGTGAAGCGGGCCTGTGCAATATTTTTGATGTAACCTTTGTGTTAAGCAGAAAATAGGAGCTATAAGGGCTCAAATTCAGTGTTTTGGAAAAGTTTTCCTCCGTAGCATCCATTTCGACAGGTCCAAGATCACTCTGAAGAAAAAAAAACACTTTCATGTCATCTGTACACATCCCGCATACCTGGTATTCTGTAATATTTTCAGAAGAACTATCATCCTTTTAGTTTGAGGACTCTCTCGTAGGGAAACACTACTTTTACTACTGCGATGCTAAAAACTCAAATCGTATTTTATGTTTAGGCTTCTTCTCTTCGGGAGATTCTCGAATGCCTGGAAACCTTGGATTGTTCGACATGGCTGAAGCTGTGAAGGTTATTCTTGATTTTATTTTCAGCATCAAAGGATTTCTTATTGTGACGTGATGGTCTTCACCTGAGGAGTGTCAACCTCTTTCTGTAATCTACAAGGTTGACCATAAAGTAATGGTGTGAGGCCCTTCAAAATGAATGTCTGAAACACTTAGAAAATTGTAGTTACTTACCGTTACCAGTTATTTTCGACCTGATAGTTGCTAGTTTCTATATGCCATTAGATTTCGATTAATTTAGTTTGTGTACGAAAATGCAGAGAATATGGGAGCTGATCCATCTCGAATCACCGCTTGGGGATTGAGCGCAGGTGGTGCAGGTGTTGGACAACTTCTACTCAGCCCAGTTTCAAGAGGTAAATTGAAAATGCCGATTTACCTGCTCCAAATCCAAGAATTCTAGATTATATTGCACGATCAATCGAAATGTCGGGGTCTCCGTGGGTTTCTTGGGCAATGGGCCCGAATGTGCCCAAAAACTCACTGGAACTTGCTGAGGTAAATATCCAGCCTGCTGCGGACTTCGGATTTTGAGTTTATTTAATTGAAGGTACTAGAGTGCACTGAGGATCTTAAGAACTGTATGAAGCGTAAAACCGTAGAAGAGATCTACGCAGCTACCGACAAAGTGGTCAGTGAGTCATGATGGAGTTTATGCTCCACAGATTATTTTTCGTGGTCTGGAACATCTCGAATATTCAAGATTTCATGGCTACGCAAACTTTGGACTTGACTGTATCAAGTGGGGACCCGTGATTGACGGCGAGTTCCTACAAGACCCGGACGAGATGGCTACCACTGCACCCCCGAAAGCTTCGATTATAGGCATTTCGAATAAAGAAGCAGCTTTTTT